GGGGGGCACGTTCTGTTTAACAGTCTTCCGGTCTTCAAAGGGGCCTGACTCGTGCTCTGTGAGGGGCTGAGCAGCACAGGCGACCCCTCAACCAACGCCTAGCGGCGGTGGCGTGGCCTTTCCTGCGCGCAGTGGGGGGCTCTGTCTCGGATCTGACCCCTGCGATGCTAACCTCAGGATCCGTGTGGCGACCGCACCTAGGTGTCCAGTCTCAGGCTGCTGGGCCCCCGGCCAGAAAGGGAAGGGGTGCTTGGGACCCGTGGTGGCAGTGCCGGTGGCGCAGCCGGCGCTCAGTCCAGGGCCGCTCAGGAGCGCCGTGGATGGTCAGGACTGGAAGGACCATGGCCGGGGACGGTGGCTGTGTCCGATTGTCTGTCCCTCCCTGTCCGTGCTTCCTGCCACCCACCCACTCACACGAAGCAGTTCCTATGAAGCTGTCGCACCCTGCTCTGCACCCCTTCGATGTGGGGGAAACTGAGGCATGCCCCTACCCTGCACAACCCCTGTGGCCGCAGGCCGGCCCTTGTAGCTGGAGCCCAGCCCACCGTGCTCAGCGGCGGGTGAGTGCCAGGCGGGCTCGGGCGCCGGGTGAGCTAGGCGAGCGGGGCGCAGGTGCGGGGTGCAACCGCCAGGGGCCGCTGTGGCTCCGGCTGCGGGGGCCGCGGGAGTCGCGGAGCTGAGACCTCGGTGGCTGCCCTCCCTGGAGGCCCTGGGCTGAGCAGGCGGCTCCTTTCATTAAAAAGAAAAGAAAAGCGGACGAACCAGGACTGCAGACAACCATTTGGGTTTTAAGAGCAGGCCGTTTCCACACACGCAGGACCCTTGGGCGAGGCGCGGGGACTTGCCAGAGGCTGAAAAGCGTGGCCACGGGTGGCGCACAGACAGGGCAGCCAAGGTCACCTTGAAGGCTGAGCTGCGGCCCTGGAAGAACACAGGGCCCACGGGTGGACGTGACCCTGACGGACCGGGTGGCCTGGAGGCCCTGTCTGTGCCGGCCCTGGGTGGCCTGGGGCCCCTTGCCTGCTCTCTCATGATGCAACAGCCGCGGGTCCTGTGGGCCTGGAGTTTGCACCCTGACAGGACCGCACTGTGGTCCCATTTTACAGATGAGTGAACTGAGGCACAGAGGGAGGAGGTAGTGGTTCTCGGTGTCACAGCTGCTGGGGTCAGAGTCCAGGTTTGAATCCAGCAACTGAGCAGCGGGGTTGTGGCCTGGCGCCAGGCACCCAGCGCCCTCCTGTCTCTCTCTGCAGCC